TTCCTTTGTCTTTCTTTTAAAGAGGTCTTGTTAATCCTCTAGCACCCTGGGCCCTTATCTGCATATGACAGAGAGGTAAAGTAAGGGATCCAGTGGGTGGAATTCAGCTGTAGACAGATGATTAGAAGTATCCCAGCTTGGTCCACAGGCCACATTCAGCCTTAGACCATACTCTGCAAAAAGACCCCATCACACTGCACGGGTGTCTAAACACCCCCAAATCACCAGGTAAATGCTAGCTCTCCACTTCATTTCATGTTATGCAGGCCTCTGGATCCTGCAGGAGCCACGCTCTAGCTGCATAAGGAGAAGATTGTAAGTAAAGTTTGTCAAAGTCAAGGCGGTTTCTTAAGCAACATCAATGCCTACAGTGAGAGGGCCTAATTCTGAGCACCCATGGTACCATTAAGGAGTAAGAGACTAGGGCAAAAAAGGGAAGAAAGCTGTGCTCATCCTTATGCTTTAGCAGATCTTCATATCTGGGAGCAGAGCAGAGGTCTGCTCCTTAGCCCAAACCTACCCAGACAAAGCTGGGTGCTGGGTTGTCCCCAAGGGCATTTGAGTGAAGCACAGAAGCAGTCGTATGTTATCCAGGCCTCAACCACGAGTGTCAGCTCCTCAATGCCCTCTTCTGTCTCACCCACTGTCCGACAGCCCTCCTTAGCCACAAGGGCCTGACTTGGTCGTCGTACTTCAGCAAGCAGTGTATAGAGCTACTTAAACCGGATTCACACTGCCTACAAACACAACTGAAAAATGTTACTACTGAAGGTGTTTTTTAGAACCACTTCCCTTATAATGACTTATATCTCCATGGACTCAATTGATATTAGGTGCTCAGAAACCAAAACATTCTCATTTCCTGACATTAACACTGTAAATACAGACCTTCACTTAAATGGCCGCTAGCGATTATTCCTTGCTCAACACTGGTCTTATGGGATACCCTAAAGGTCAATTTAGTAATATGTCACCCAATCGCTTAAAGGCTGAAAGCGGGGAGAGGGGGTTCTAAACGTTTATGATCAGTATTTTTATCAACAAGGTTTCTGGATGAAGTCAATTTTAGAAACTGAATTCATGTACAAGAGTGCAGCAAGTGGTACAGTTTACACTTGGTCACAGTTTTCTCACTTTATGACATTACTGTAACAGTTACAGGATAGAAATACACACATACACACATTTATATTCACACTCACACACAGTATAATTTTACTGATCCAGACAACACTTCTTTTCAATTAAGAAAAAAATGAAGATTATTGTTTGGCCACCCAGGCATGAAATCTACTTAAACCTGGAATATTAGAACACAATACTCTTCAAGTAAACAGCAATTGCACAGTGATAACAATATACATTAAGATTGACACATGCTGTCTTAAGAGGTCCAGTAAGAGCTAAAGACTAAAGAAAGTCAGAGATGTCAGCCAAAAAAGTCAATATGCCTTCTATCTTCCATTCTAATTATAATCCATCACCCAAGAGAACAGCTATAGTCCAGAAGATAAGTATCCTCATATGAAAATGCAGAGCTAATACATTTTTGAGTGTCAATGAATTCTGCTCAATACTTTGGATAGTCTTCAAATTCTTCTTGTTGTATTAACAGAAAAATAAGCCTTTATGGTTATTTCCAATGTCAAATTTAAATAGAGATGTCTGAAAAAATATTAAGGTTTCTAAAGTCATATCGTGGGCAATACTTTTTTAAAAAGTGGTCTCATTGTCATATATCCACTGCTCATGTTCCACTGTTTTCATAAAATTCTACTTTTCAGTTTTGCTGAACTAGACAAATATAAACAACACATAGTAAACACTGATACACATCTCATAGGACACAACACATTTTACAAAATAGCTCTACTGTAGTACTATAACTGTTGTAAAAATGGACATCTCTGCTACTGATGGACAAATACATTTCACATTATAATGAAAGTTGTGGTTACAAAGGCATTACTCATTTGATGGCATTTTTCTACTGGTACTTAGACTTCAAATTGTGTAGCCAAAGGTTTCCCTCCTATTTGATTGAGACTTTGAAGGACCTTCCAGTCACTTAAGCAACAGGCTTTCTTCACTGTAAACCCCTGGACCACGGAGTTTCAGAACCTATGCTGTCAAAACATTAGAGAACAGATAACTGATCATGGTGACAATCACCTTTTCAGTGAGCATGGTAAACTTAAAAAATATAACCGATGAGACGACAGACTCTCTTAGATTTTGCGATTTAAAGAAAAAAAAAAAGAATTTCTTTTCCTGTGCCACCGGGGAGGCATCAGGCTCTCACACAGCCTCGGCAGACGTGTCTGTGGACACAGACATGGTCACCTTGGCAATCTTGACCGTGCTCTTGATGCAGCTCTCGGCTGCCCTGTGAACACTGGCTGCGTTGTTTGCATGTTTGTGCAGGCAGTCCGAGTCCCCCATGCTGTTATCGAGAGGCTGAGCGGTGCCTTCACACGAGGGGAACATGCTCCGGAAAGCATGTCTCAGGTCCTTGCTCCTCAGGGCGTAGATGATGGGGTTCACGGTGGAATTCAGCAGGCACAGCATACTGCAGAATGCAAACACCGTCTTAATAAGCTTGTTCATCTTCCCAAAGACATCGTACACCATGATGGCAAGTAGAGGCCCCCAGCAGATGATTAAAACCACAAGGATGAGGACCAGGGTCTTGGCCAGCCGAATGTCCATGCGGGCTTGGTCTGGCCGGGTCACCTGTACCTTGCCGTCCTCTGACGTATGGATGATGATGCTCTTCTGGGTGCCGCGCTGGATCATGCGAACCGCGTGGCTGTGCGCCTTCCAGAGAATGTACATGTATGCGTACACGATGAACAGCAGCAGCACACTGGTGACCCCGATCCAAAACATCAGGTAGGTTTCATCAATCAGTGGGAAAATGTCAGAGCAAACGGACTGCAGCTTCTTGCAGTTCCAGCCCAGGAGAGGCAGCACAGCGATCACAATGGCTATGGTCCACATCAGGCAAAAGGCTACCACAGCCTTGGGCCTGGTGACGATTCTCTTATAGGCCAGGGGCCTGTGAATAGATATGTATCTGTCGATGGCTGTGAGGAACAGGCTGCCCACCGAGGCGGTGAAGGAGGCTGTGACGCCACCCAGTTTGAACAGGAACACATTGGGGCTGTCTTTGCGGTGGAACACGTGGAAGTCGACGAAGCTATAGACGAAAATGACACTCCCCAGGAGGTCTGCCACCGCCAGGCTGCCAATGAAGTGGTAAGAAGGCCTGCAGCGGAGGCTGCGTGAGTGCAGGATGACACACAGCACCAGAAGATTCTCCAGAACCGTAAAGGTGCCCAGCGTGAGGGACAGCACAGCGATGGCCAGCTGCTGGCTGGGGTTCAGGATCATGAAGCACTCCATGTCCATGAAGTTCTCCCCACACTGAATGTTCTCCTCATTCTCCTTGTAGGATGAGAGAGACTTGTTGTAAAATTCGGTAATGTTCACCTGGTCTGCTGGGACTAATTGGGGGTTGTCTCCTGCAGTCATCTTTTCTTGGAAGGGACTTCCCCTAAAGGAAGTTAAAGGAAATTTCTGTGGGAAATACCCTAATTTGGATGCCATGTCGCCTTTGATGTCTTCGTACTGAATGTCATTCGAGCCCACGTAGAGGAGGTCTGTGGTGATGGTACGGAAGGTGGTGTCTGCAAGGCCATCTAGGATCGACTTCATAACCTCCGTCTTCGATTAGACCAAACTCAAAATGACTGAGAAAGACACCCACAGCAGGGAATCCTAATGAAGGGAAAACAAATAAGCTGAATCGTGAGAAAACCAGAATTAAAAAAGCAAAAACAAAAATCAAATGAGTACCATCATGTTATTTCATTCTTGTCTCTGAACACAGGTAAATCCTTGTCATATTCAGTCAACGAAATGAGTCAGTCACTCAAAGAAAAGCCATCCAAAAGTTGGTGATGTGACACGTACTGGAAACAGGTGTGTTTCTTTCCTTATTTAAGCTCTCTGGGTATAAGTCACTGTGTGAATCCTGTATGGACCTCCAGGGTCTGACAGTCAAGTGAAAAAAATGTATTTTGGGTGTGGTGTGCAATTCACAGTCATGTTATGAAGTGTTTACCACCTGGCTTCTACTGTCACATACACATAGTATCCTAATGCTGGTGGAGGACAGGGGAAGCAATAACGCGTCACACAATCTCTGCTCTTGAAGAGTTTAACACCTGGTCATGCAGGTAAGACTGAATGTGCAAGACAATTGAAGAAGATGACTGTGAAATCAGGGGTTGTGTGGACTACGTGTTGAATATAGAAGGGGAGGAAGATTGACTGCTAACACCTATACAGGAAGCACGTAGCCATGGCAGGAAAACCCAGGTTGTACCTCTGGTTCCATCAGGCAAGTTTCCTCACCCAGCAGAGACGTCTGGACTAAGCCATGGCTGCGATAAACTTCTAAAATGTCTACATCAACCAAGAAAAATGTCACGAAGGGCAAACTTGCACTGAGGCTCATGGGAAGACCAAGATCTTTATCACTGGAAAGGAGTGGTGACGTAGAATGCTTCCTGGCAGTGTCCCAGTGAGTGGCATGATGACACAAGCACACTGGCAGACAGGAGGCAGGCCTCCTCATCCAAGGCTTTTCAGGTGGATAGCACTGGAAATAAGGACAACTGAGAGGGGAGGCCAAATTGTAAGAGCTCTTCAATTCTAAGCTAAGCAATCTGGTTTCGTTTCAAAAGAAACAGACAGAAAATTGATTTTACTATTTATAAATGTTTAAAATGTGGCTATGATGCTTTTTTAGCTTATAAATTTAATAATTAAAATAATTATTAAACCAGTACTTTATTTACTGTCTTTTTGTTGTTCCTAAAAATATTACACTCTCCTGGAGGGGGGAAAAAAAGATAGTCATTATCTTGGAACAAATTTTAAAGCTCTGAATCCATCTGCTAAAATACAGAGGTCCTACCCATCTGAATTAATAATTCATTTATTCAAGCCGGCCGAGTGGCGCATTGGTTAGGAGTTGGCTTGGGACGCCAGCTCTGGGCAGCAGGGCCCCAGTTCGGATCTCACATGAGGGCCACTGACGCTGCACCCTCTACAGCTAAGATGGTGAACAACAGCTCGACCTGGAGATGGGCTGCCGTGAGTCACCGGCGACAGCGTAGGCTGCAGTGGGGCTGGCCGGCAGCGGGCGTGAGCTTTTATGAGCTGCAGTGGGCTGCCATGACTGGCCATCCAATGGCTGGCGAGCAACTGCCTCAGCCGGGAAGAGTGCAATGATAATATCAACATGGGCCAGTGAAGCGACGTCCTCCACAACTAGACTGAAGAACAAAAGGACAGCAACTTGTCTGTCCCCCTTCCCCGATTCCACAATGCTGTTCCCCTCCCCCAATTCCCCAATAAAACCTTTAAAAATCATAATACTAACTCATTTATTCGTCCATTCAACAAAGTATTGAGCATCCACTACGTGCCAGGCATTAGGGACACAACTACATCAAGAAAGAGTCCTTGGCCACATGGAGTACAGTGTAGCAGAGGAGACAGGCAGCTGGCCCCATAATTATGAGAAGGTGACAGCTACAATTGGGGACTTATAGGAAGGATGCTGTGGGAGGAGCCAGTCGATGGGGTTCAAGGAGGCTTCCCCAAGGAACGAATGTTTATGTCAAGAGTATATATATAGAATTAGTGTGGATGGAGACAGGACACCATATCATTTAATCCTGAGTTAATATATTTATTTTCATAACTACACTGTGGTTTCCAAGCACAGGAATGGCATCTATTTTTCTTATGTGATTCACCACCCTGATAATATGATAGCAGATGAGAGAGGGCTGGGCTCCCTTAGAAAAGCCCATGTCAGCCTAACAGGTAACTGTGAATTTTATTGATGGGTGCATTAAAGCAGTAATTTAATAATATTTATTTGCCTTTTCTTAAAATTAGAGGACAGAAAGGTAATTAATTCAATGGATACTTGATCCAAAAACCAAAGCCTGAGCCCAACATTTCCAGGCAGCTCCTTGGAGCCAGTCTGTCCAATAGGTCATCTTCTCTCAAGTAACTAACACTCCCTTCACACTTGCCAATTAAAAACTCAATTATTTGAAACTTTGGTTACATTATTAAATTCAAACTATTCAAAAGGTACAAAAGGTACAGCAGTCAATCACTCTCATCTGGCTGATCCCAGCCAACTAGCTTTCCTCCTCAGAGGCAGGAGTTTCTTGTTACGCGTTCCAGAGATATCCCACGCATAGTCAAGCAAATAGGTATATTTATTCCCCCTTCACTTTCCTTTTAACAAACTCTAATGTACTATACACAGAATTCTGCACCTTGCTTTTCCACTTAAAAGAAGACAATTCCACTTTAGTCCACAAACCCTCTCTCCATCTAGCAGTTGCCTTAAGTCCCCAGTAGATGAATGTGCCCAGCCTCCTAGTGATAAAGGTTTAGGTTGGGTTGTTTCTCACCTCTTGCTACCACAAATGTTGCTGCAGTAAATTACCTTCAGTCGTAGCATTTTTCACATTTCTTACGGTATTGTGAATAATCTTTTTAGTCATCCAACCTAGCTTCTACCTTGGACTTACCCGGGATTTCTCCTCCTTCTTGGCCTCTAGAATCAGGTAGACCACCAAGTCTCACTGACCTTCCCTCCATAAGCACTTATGGGGAGTGTATGATGTGCAGGGGGAATTCTGAGACTCTTAATGTGTCTCAGATTGCTAACTTTGACAATGGCCCTGTGAACTGAGTGCTGGTATTAGCCCCATGTTACAGACAAAAGGCACAGAGAGGGTAAGTCATTTGCCATTTGCACAGCCAGTAGGTAAACAGAGCCAGAATGAACCCACATGTTCTAGTTCTAGGGCAGTGCTGTCCAATAAAAACGTAATGTGAGCCACATGTGCAATTTTAGTTTCCAGTATCTAGGCAAAAAGAAAAATGTAAAAGAGAAAATTAATTTTAATATTTTATTTAACCCAATATATCCAAAATATTATTTCAACATGTGGAACTAGTCACATTTCAAGTGCTTAATAGCCACATGTGGCTAGTGGCCACTATATTGGACAGTACAGGTCTGGAGCTGCGTTTAACCTTATGAGGCACCATCTCTCTAACCTAAGACAGTGATGCTCCTGTCTCCCTTCTTTTCCTCACTGATTTCCACCAAAGCACTAGTAATGCAGAAAAAAAAGCATTGAGTTAGGAGCTAGCAGACCAAGATCAGTGGCAGACCTGCGTTAGTCTTTCAAAACCTCAGTATTTCATCTGTAAAATAGGAAGAAGAGGAAAGAAGAGGCAGGAAGAGGAAGCTGCCTAAACTATAGAATTGTTCTGAAAATTAAATATTAAAAAAAAAGCACTTAACATAATGCCTGGCACAAAATTTAACTCTTGAATAAATATTAATTATCATTACTTAGTACTATGGCTCCTTGCCATACATTATTAATTGTATTTCAAGATAATTCATTGCCTTAATTAGATCATAGGCGGGGTTTTTTCTCCATTTTTTATTTTTGTCTCAGCACTTAACATGAAGCAAATAGAAGATACACACATGCGTGAGGGAAGAGGAATGTCTATTAGTATATTTCAGGTATTGAGAGACTCTACATATAGTCTATCATTAAATTGTCATGATAACTCTATCAGGTGCTTATTTATAATTCCTATTTCACAGACAAGGAAATGAGGAGTCCACTAGATGTTAAGTAAATCATCGAGAATATGAAAAGTGTATAGTTGAACCCATGTCTCTCAGGGTCCCGAGTTTCTGCCTTTGGACTTTATGCACTGTTTTAAAGATTAACAGTAACTAGGATAAAGCCATTTTGCATCTTATATTCAAATGTTCTAGCTTCTTACAAACACAAATTGAGGCATTTTGTCAATATGTAGTAATTAAGACTACCTCTTACTAAATCACTATTTCCTATTTCAGCCCATCTCGGCGGGTCTGCCTAAAGGCATGGCTTCAAGGACTAAAATTTTAGTACTTAGAAGAGCTATAAAGTGAAGAAAAAGGATCACAGACCTTATTGCCACAATGCAAAACACGTGTGCCTGTGATTTACTCTACATTAAGATCACCACATATGTGATCACAACTTCCTATTTTAATGTAACCAAGCACTTTCATTAAAACAAACTAGCCTGTTAAAATCTGAGCCAGAGCATGGTGTGGTTATGAGATATAAAGTAATTTCTGTCCAATATAAGCCAACTTTAATTAAAGAATACAGTTAAAAATTGTGCTGTTCAAAGATCTCAGTCATGTCCAAATACCACTGTGCACAGGCTACTTTAAGTTAATGGGATCATGGCAAGAAAACTGTCCTTTGCATTTCAGTAATTCTTGCCTTATTTCTACATTTGGATTATTACAGTAATTTCCACCTGCTTATTTTTTGCATTGAGAGTTTTCTTTGAGAGTTCATTACTAATATAGTTTAGGCTTTGGGAGATGCAGTTGCCATTAATTTTGTTTTTGTTTGCTACTGGGAAAATCATAATTGGAAATTTCTAGCAAAATGCGCAGATGCTCCTATTAAAGAAGCAGTTTTTATTATAGTTATAGCAAAATAATAATTCAATATTTAAGGGGATTTTCCTAGAATTCTGCTTGCATATGACCAACATATTCTCGTAATTTAAGCTATACATCATGCCTTTATAATAACAGTATTAAAAAATATTTTGATGTGTAGCATCCATTTTTTTTAAACTTCAATATTTTAAATTACCACCACCTGTTCTTTTTATCCATCTCTACATGCACACCTGCCTCTTCATCCATCACCCCCAAACTTAGACCAACTCACAAGCTATGGTATCATCAAAGAAATTTTATGGGTGTGGCAGTAGCATGGAGTTTTTTAAAAAGTCTACCCAGACTCTGTATCTTTGTTTCTATAGCCTTTAATGGAATGAAAACAACCATGTTCTGATTAGGGTAAGCATCGAGAAAGTCCTCAAAATAGGCTTCAAATAGCATCTTTTCTACATCAGTATAATTTGATAACAGGTTATTTAGTCTCATTGCCCAGCTGGAGACCTTTGTTTTAGAGAGACATTTCAATAATTTAGATATTTATCACTGTTGTATCTGGAATCAAAATCCTTGCACTTCTGGCCTGTACAGCATCTCTGGGGGAACAGAGAGTAGGCAGTATTTGCTTCCTGCAGGTTTTCCTGTCCAGCAAGGCAGGCAACCCACTGGAAGCATCAGAAGGACTGATGCTCCCAATATAATTACAGACTATATCAGCCCACCAGGGTCCTTCTCTAATATTCTAAGTTTATAATAAATGCTTTAAGAAGACAATGCAAACTCATAGTTTCTAATTTAATAGGGGTCCAGGATATCAAATGCAGGAGTCCCAGGCCCTGGCTTACCTATGTTTTTTCCCTACGTTCTTTGTCGGTTTTGTGTTGTTCTGCTTGGCTAACCTTGTAGAAGGGCCTTGTGAAGGGTTCAAGAGAATGACGGTGCCAGTGGATATATGTTTGTTATTTTCCATTCATTTCTGGGAACAAGTCTGGTTTCTACTAATTTGATCAAGAAAAATAACTTGCTAATGTATTTCTCTAAAGTTAGTAGGGAAAATTTTAGTTGATTCTTATAATTGCATTATGACGTCTAAGTCATGTTCTCAATATACATGGCAGATCTCATGGGCTAAACCACAGGTTGATGAATGATATTTCTGCTATAGCTGAGTGGGCAACTCTTTTCTAACTCTTACCTAACCATCAGTGTTTCAGAATTATTAAAGTAGTTTGGTAACTTTTTGCATTATCTTCTATAGCAAAGAGAAATAAAAGATTGACTTTATTATCCTGAAAATTGAGGCAAAAATACATAATCCCTCTTCCTTGTATTAATATCAGCTCCTTTTCCCATACATAAAAGAAAATTCCATTATGCTGGTAATGCTTGGTTGATTCGCAAAGCTTTAGCTTTTCATTTATTTTGTAATGTGGAATAGAAGTTATTAAATGCACTATTTTCTCTGGTCTACTCTTACTAACAAAATGAGTGTTAGATTTTTCATAAAAATATATCAATTAATATGAACTAAACAGACACTAAGACACTCATGAGACTATATATTTCCTTTCAAATTTAACCTGAACTATGTTTAATTATTTAACATTTAAAGGCTTTTTATAACTTAAAGAATTTCAAGGCTCAAGAAATGATGCCTTTAAGCTACATCGAATTAAACACTCACTAGCAGGTGATGATGCAATGAGATGAGCCTATCACAAAGGCAAATGATACAAATGAAATGATTTGCTGACTTTTATAACCAATTATCATTTAATTTTGCTCTGCTGTTTTGATGTTTCCTACTAATAAGTAGCTTTGCTTTTTTTGTTGTTGAGACAGATCTTTTCTCCATAATCTATAAAGAAAGTAATCAAGTATAATTGAAGCAGCCTTCCCTTGAAACAGATCATGCCAAGTTTTCAATTCACTGGAAGCCCAGTCCATATATAAAATGCTCCATAAGATGTCTCTATCTTGCATATGAGGTTTCATCATTAAAGGTTAAACGCAATATATTATTCTGATCCATAATATATGTAAAACCCATGAAATAGGTTACCTTTACAGTTCATTACAAAGACAGCAATAGTTTCAAGTGCTATATGCTGTCCAATGGTGAAGCATACTTTTTAGTTTCCTCGTTCATTCTTCAATAAGGGGTACTTTCTCTTTGACTTTATGAGCATACAAATGAAGTCCAACCAAAAACAAAGTCTTAATTCTCCAGGTTCAAATCTCAAAGAATTTGGGTACTTTAAATGCACAATAGGGAAAATTCCAATTCTCAAATATTTCAATAAGAAATATTTGAATGTTTATGTGCCAGGCATCACGCTAAGCATATATATTACTTTTGTTTAATTTACATGAAGTAGGTGCTATTAAATTCCCATTCTACATATGAGAAAACTGAAAGGTAAATGCTCTCTCCAAGGTCTCCAACTAGAGGGACAGAGCTGAAACTTCAACCAGGTCTACATAACTCAGTCTCCGCTCTTAACGTTGAGGTCCAGGGATCATTTAATAAGACACTCTTTTTCCATTTCTAAGGGAGGGAGAAGAACTGATTTTGGAAAAAATAATAAAGAGCACATGATAATTTTACACGGTGAACAAGTAAAGTCTGGAGGAATGATCTATTGACAGCAAAAAAACGGTGCCCATGGCACTTGCAAATCATCCTTACTCCATTGCCTTCAGAGACAAAGTATGACAATTAGCTAATTGTAAATCCTAACCCTGAATTAGCACTTTATTTGCAGTGACTGTTGGCAAATAATAAATAAAATCAAACTGTCATTGCCACTATTTATTTTTTAACTAAGTAGTGTTTTTTGTTGTTTTCTTCCCCTTCATTAGTTGAAAGGATTGTGGATGGTAATGAGTTTCCACACCACCAGCAAGGGCACCTTCTTTAGGTCTGCATGAGGCATGACTGTTGTTAGTAAACAAAACCTTTAAACATTCATTCTCCATATAAAGAAATTCACTCACTTGAAATCGCTCAACTTCTCCTCTTGAGCAGTGTGATTTTCTTAGACCCAGAAAGGGAAGAAGACTCCCCATGGCTAATTCCTACGATCTTGGCTGGAATCAAGGCAGTAAAAGTGCTGTAAACCATAGTATACTGGGCTCCAATAAGACAATGCTTATGACAACTCTTGGTGCCCAAAAGGCACAGAGCTGGGTTACTACAGCAATGTGCTTGATGAATATAGTCATAGGCCCTCATATGCTTCACTTAACCCATTCTTATTGTGTGTGTACTCTGTGCCTAGCACTGTAGATATTATATATCCATGCATCACACTTGTACAATGGCTATGGGTCAAGGAAGCATGGGAATGATTCTCTATTCTACCTCATATCAAATAAAGCCCACCCATCTGCCCTTCTCCTCCCACAGATGACAGAATTGGATACGAACACATGGAACAGGCACGTAATAGTTCATCATCAAATGGTATTGGGTTGTATAAGTTCCCTTCCTATATATGCTTTGAGGTTTTCTCCCAGGAGAGATGATGGGCACTGCTGAGTCTTCCTGTAGCAATCTTTCTTGTTTCTAAACCCTTCAAATCATGAACACCTTGACATAGGGACCTGTCTTACATGGCCTTGTATGTCTTCTGCCTAGCACAGGGTCAGTACTCAGTATCTGTTTACTAAATGAATGTTGGTGTGCATGGGAAATATGGCAGATCTATCTTAGCAGAATGGCTTTTAACTGGACAGTTTTTCTTGACATAAAGTCAGTTGATCATTTAGAAACCTGAGTCTTGATCTCATACAAACTTCCATCTAAAAAAACAAAACTGCCCCAATGTAAAAGTTACATAAAAAGCATCAATAATTGTGTACCCCAGGGTCTTGTAGCTCAATATTAAATAGTAGCTATACTGACAGCAAATGAAGGTTACGGACAAAGATATGATATTTTTTATTCTCATCCTTGTTTAGCCCAGGTGCATATTATCAACTACAATGTTTAGCCACATAACAATATATAAAGAGATCTTTGTGACATGCACAACCCTGAACAAATCCTAGTTGCACACTGTTGACAGACTTTTAAAAACAATATATGAAACTGTGATCATAATGGACTTTTTCCTTCCCTCAAATGCATGCTATTATACATTGATCTTTCCCAAATGGGTTTCTCCATGTGCAAGTGTCTTTTCAAAACCTGTCAAGAGAAGTTATGTGAAAATTCAACCACTAGATGGAGTGGCTTTTATAAGCCCTCAGGAATCAATCTGTTATTCTATTCAGGACATACTTCTTGCTTTGGTTGAGCAACTTCTCCTGCTACATTTTATGCATTTTACAACTGAATTAATTAAAACATAAATAAGAAAACATATTATGGAGGGTTAAAATGAGTTCTTACTACTGACTACAAAGACCAAATTTCAAATTGCTTTTCTGGGGCAAAAGGATGTTGAGAAAATTTAATACATTAATAAAAATTAATTGTGACTATTTGGAATTCTGCCTCAAGAAAGTAATTAAGAATGAGTAAAGGAAAGGAGTTCTACTGAAAACAAATGATATGTTTATGCCAAGAGATGCTAAAAGTAAGAAGGGCATGTCTCAGGAGCCCAAAATCAATTCTAATAACAAACTCAACTAATTTCTATTTTATGAAACATTTGGCTTCCCAATTTTCAAATATGAAATCACCAACACAGGTCATAACTCTGTGGTGAAAAAGAATGGAATATTATTTTTTATTATTACAGGGTCTAACTGGAATATGTCACAAGAGAAGTGAATATTTGTTGAAATACTCATACAAATTGAGAAGGATACAGCTTTCTAAACAATTCAATTTTCTTCCTATCATTTTCTTGCTGGAATAATTTTAAATAAGTTTTGATTGTGTAAATTCAGGATTCTATTCAGATATGACTTTTTAAAAACTAGGTACTTATGCATCACCTACTTTAGTTGAAATGTTAAATGAAAATTTTTCAGTGTGTACTAACAATGCAAGATATAAACAGAGAAATATGCTTGCAAGATGCAAGTAATTATGTACAAACAACTTGAAGAAATAGGTTTCAGTAAAGATACAAAATATGCTTTGGAAATGTAGTTATAATTAAGAAGGAAGTATGCAAATTAGATACAAATACAGACTTTTTATGCCATTGAAACCACGGGGTAGTTCTACTGTACTCATTCAAGGTCAAATCCTTCCTAAGATTTGTGTGATGCCATCATGCAATTTTGTACAGAGCTGAGTAACAAAAGTATTCAGAAAAAAAAAATGACATGAAGGTAAAGACTTAGGAAATAACACTGGTGAGAAAAGGCTGGGAAATTCCAGAGTACATCTTAAAGAACAGTCTGAGAAGTCTCACAGCAGTTTGTAAGTACATACAGTTATTTTATAGTCAGTGGCTCTCAAAGGGTGGTGTCCGGCAGCTTCAGCATCACCTGGAAACTTAAGAGAAATGCAAATTCTCAGGTTCCACTTACCACCTACAGAAACAGAAACTCTAGGGCTGGGGTTCATCTGTGTTTTACCAAGGCCTCCAGGAGATTCGAACACACTCTAAAGTTTAAGAACCATTGGTAAAGATTATGAAAAAGACTGCCTGGTGGTGGGTGGGGGGAGGGGAGACAGAATTAACCTCTATGAAGAACTGAGGTTAGACAGCAAGAAAGACTATTATGAGCATAGGTTTTTAGATCATTGAAATGGATTGCTAAGTGAGCCCTGCTCATGATAAAGTAGTCTCTCACAGAAGACCTTTAAAACCAAGGCATTTCTATTTGACTGGAATAGAATAATGTAGTCTAGCCTGAAAATAAGCATAAGGCGTGGGGAAACTCTCAAGGTTTTTCAGACTATAATTCAGGGCTTCTCTGCACTTTTTCAGGAAACTTGCTGTTACATATTTCGTCCAGCAAAGAAAAGTAACTTCAAGATATAATATGTTAAGAACCCAGTATGCAGACCTAAGTTAAGAACTCCACACCATTTTCTCTTAATTCTATTTGAAAAAGTCTATGTAACGTTTCATAGGACTGCTTGCCATGTTTTTCAACGCCATTGTGAGGGAACCCATGGTTCCTAAGCATAAATGAACAGGAAAAAAGTAAAAGTAGTTAACATTCCAGTTTTTATTTAAAGATGGAAATGTTTGTTTGTTCTTCTTTTCCCAAAAACCATAAAATAATGCATCACAGGAGATGGAACCCAACCCCAGCATCCTCACCCCCCACCCCTCCCCCAAGTAATGCAGATCCACTGCAAATTATCTTACAGAATTATCCTGGTAAATTATGCAATTCACACTGCTCAGAGATGGCAAGTTATCTTTCAAAAATACCTAAAAGTTATAAATATATGGAAATGTATCCCAAAGCACTAAAGTATATGACTCTGAGCAGACTGTTCCCTCTCTTAAATATTTCATCAATAAAATGGATCATAGATTACTCATAATTAGTTTCCTTAGCTGAGGACTAAAATCATTCTAAGATTTCCCCTTTTTTAGTTTTGTAAGAACTTAGATAAAATTTCCAAAAGTAGCTATACATTTTCCAATGTCATATTCCCACATATGCAAAGATACAGAATTTTCTGAACAATCTTTTGCTTGCTTTAGTTATGTGTTAAGTTGGTTAGCTCTCCTTTTTCTCCACATGCATATTGCTTGCTCACCACAACTTATATAAAAGCTGCAGAAAACATTCACAAATTCTGGTAGCAGTGCATTACAATGAGTTGAAAATCTGGTCCATTTAACAACCCACACCAGAATAAACCAAAATACACAGATCATAGTGGCCTTACATTAAGTCTTGCTTGTAAAGAATAAATCAAGCTGATTTATTTTTAAATATAGCAGAGTTAAAAGCAAGCGAGAGTGACAAAGAAACGCTACTGATGATGTTGGTTCAATTGCTATATTAAAAACATTGTCTTTAGCCTCTTAACCAACAGAAATCAATGTTACAAAATTTCCTAGTACCAATGTCCCTATGTGAAAGTCTCTGATTTTTAAAGAGCATAATGAAATTTGTCACTAATTTAAATGTGAAACTCCTTGTAACAATTTATAGAACTCATATTGATTCCAATTTTCGTCCCTAAATATATAGTCTAAAAGAACGAATGAAGAAATGATGAAGGAAAGAGGGAAACCCTCCCATTTAAACATGAACTTGGAGAAACATTATTTCCTAATTGTATTTTATTTTAATTATCTTTAAATATACAACTGACATCCACAGTTTGTGAAAGCACTTGCCAGTGCAATCAACGACCACAACAGATTGCCTGGCAGCTCTTTGAAAAATGCCTCTGCTTTTCTTTAAAAAGCAATAGCATGGAATTTGCTAGTAGGAATAAAACAACAGATATTACACTGTCAAATTTAGGAAACTAGACTGCACTTTATCTCCTGAAGTTAAAAAACAATTTAAAATGCTATGTAGAGTTGATAATGGTGGTAAGGAATCAAGCCAAAGATATCAAATTCCTATTCAACGAATCCAAACTCCAAACAATTACGAATCTAGAGTGAAAAAATAAGACATTAGATAATAAAATTCTGGACTCTTAGGGGAAAATGATTTGCCATCTGTGTCAGGAAAAAAAGGGAACACCCTTGTTACATTAAAAAAATGCAAAATCAACCTTAGGAATCTTATTCAAAAATACAGAATATAATTCAGTAGCACACAAGGTTAAAAAGAGTTAGCTAAAAAATATTGATTTCCACCTAACCACTCTCAACTCACAAGTTCATAAACAAAAGAAAACAAACAACGCAAAACTTTGAAAGTTTTCCTAAAGTGCAGGTGTGAAAATTCCACCAGCTGGGGCTAAAATAGAATTCACAGTATTCTGGAAAACTACTGTTACTCGGCAGGCCAATTTACTCAGGTTCGGTGAGTAAACAATTCTTCTCTCAAAAACCTATATAAACACTATGAACCTCAAGAATTCCATGGTCACTAAGTTATGCAATTATCCTGTTTACATAAAACTTTTAAATTAGAAGTTATCTCAAATTTATACAATAATCTATATGGAAAATATATAGAAAATATCAATGAAAACTAGATGAAGAATATGTTTGTAATTGCAACTGTCCTAGAAAAACTATTATAATGAAATATAGTACTTTATTTTCTATGAGGTAACCTGTTCAGTGAAGAGATATGACCTAGGAAATCTTTTGGTAAATATTTTATGTTATGAACTTGAGGTAATCACACTGACTACTTAATGTAATAGTTTTGACATATTATTGCTGATAGGTCCTAAACATACCTATTATTCATGCATACCTGTTTGAGATAGAAGTTCATCTAACATCAAACCATTTGAATAGTACCAAGAGAGGCATTGGAAAACCACTACACACAACTCTCTCTTTACCCCCACCTCACAAATTTCCTATAGCTGTTACTTACTTGTGATAGCATTATAATGTGTTATATGTAACAAATATTAGTATGTTATCTGCATTTTGTGATGTAGGAACAACTTTGTATATTTTCTTCCAACTTTCCGTCAACTTTCTTCTTCAAAATAATAAACAATTAGCAAGATTGGTGAAAACTGTTAAATCCATCAATTAGTGTTTATGATAAAATTATAATCAAATGTGGTTATGCCTATCCTAGCACCTTTGCAAGATTTTTAGAGCACATGGGACTGGAACCGAGTTTCACTATTTTGGAAAATAAGAACAGCCTTCTTTCGATTCAAGGCAGATGTTTCCTTTTGCCTCAAGTCTTCAGTGTCCATCTGCACAGCTGCCCTAAATTTGGAAATTTCCCCAAATCCATAGTATTTATTTAAAACCTGAATTATGTTTTAATATATAAAGGTAACATGTCTAGTTTTTTTGGTCATGATATATATCTATGAAAAAGTTTGTTCATACTTATGTATAAAAGTGTGTTTATATATCCTGTCATCTAAAATTATGTAGTATGTAATTTGATATATATATATATATTCTGGATGACATCTATTGTTTCTTGTAGTCCAGAAAATATCTGAGAGAAATATGAGTTGATCTATAATATATTATAAAGTTAATCTGATCTAATTAAATGGTTATCAAAACACTTAATAGCAACTCAGTGGCAAAGTATTGAATCCCCCCACCCCTCAAAAACATCATTCATGAAGTTATAAAGTTAACATTATTTCAGAATAGGGTTAGGAAAGAGCTGAAGACTCAGGAGGAGGAATATGTAGTTAAAATTTTGCCAACGTAAAGTACATCCATTGGTTCTGACTTCCTCTTATTCTTTAACTTCTCTACCAATCCTCAGAAAAGGAAAGAAAAATCAACAGAGCTTGTGGTCCCTCGAAATGTAGATATGCAATCTATAAACCTGGCCCCAGCACAGTTTTTCAAACAATATTGGGTCCAGGTTGTTTCAGAGTCAAAAGCAGAATTATAAATAATTTAAACCCAAAGGCTGGATTCATTCTAACTAATTTGTCGGTTCAATTAGAAAATGATGAATACAAAAACAGAAAAGACAGACTTACACTGGTGGAGACACGGCATCCTTTTTTTTTTGCAGGAATGAAAGCTCTCATCTGTTTTCTTCATGCAACTGAGCTAACATAATTACCCACTAGAACAACATGCAGCAACCTAAAGGACAGTCTCCATCTTACTGACCAAATTCAAGGCGCTATAACCAAATCAAATCTTGTTTTACTCATCATGTATTGTTAGAGATTTCCAAATCAATTTATCACTTTTTTTTTCCAGCATTCCTGGAGAGCGAATTATGGGAAATAATCCCCTTCCTTATTAGGCCAACTGTTTTCTGGGAAGAAACATTTGGTAAGCGTGGTTGACTATAAACTGCTATTATTATGTTCCATTTCAAAATAGTTTATTCGTATACAGCAGTTTTCCAATTCTAATTCCAAACACTAACATGCAAGACAACCAAGGAGCCTGCCTAAATTTCCTGGTGGTTAATGTTAATTCTGAGTCAAAGCAAAGATGAATGTCACACAATTGTGTTGAAAGAATTTTTTAGGCTTTGCCTCAGTAATTAATAAGCTGACACTGCATACTAAACACTTATCAACACTAATCAATGGGACTGCTTCTTTCTTGAGAAAACAGGTAAACCGATTCAAGGAGTTTTCTTTTGGAATAGACTGTACTATGCCACAAATATAGTGGTTCTTTTGGAGGATTTCATTCCCAGCAGTTTCATCTTGGTAACATTTAACAATTTCACTATTTTAACATTTTGAAATGCCAAAAAGAACACACTGATCCTGCAGCTAGGCTTATTAGAGAACAATCTCACAGGCGAGACAGGGAAGCACACAGTCCACTGGGAAAAGGGTAACAGAAAAAGACAGAAAACAGTGGATAACAAACAAAGCCCAGCACTACTCCAATGTGAGATCGAATTTTCACCAGAGTGGAAAACTTCACACACCAAATTAAATGCTATCCCCTACGGTTTATTGAAGGGACTAGGCATAACATTCTTTTTATATGCACAAATACTGATGCTATCTATCAAAACTGGGGGGCATGATGCTCTAACTTGCCTTCCTAACAATGACTATGCAAGCACTGTCATTTTATTTTTGAAAGGTCAGAAAATTGAGCATTTCCCTCCTGTGGCATCGTTTTACTCCCACGGAGACGCTGGAACACAATGAGACCTCTCCCCATTAGATACTTGATACATACCTCAGTCAAGACTGCTCCTTGTCTGGAGTGGAGACATCTTTGGAACAAAAAGAGTCCTTTTACAGTAAGTTCTTTTGATAACTTAAAATGGATTAGTTTTTAAAAAGCACGTCCATCCTCCAGCCTCTTGCCCAAACTATGGTAACTGCTGCTGTGCCTACAAATAGCCACCTGCAGTACACAACATTTAAAATTCTGGAGGTGTGTGGATACTGTTCACACACGTAGGGCTATAATCACAAAATACTGTTTCACTTAAGAAACTATACATGACCTTTTATTTTGATAAAATTGCTCTAAACTGAGTTAAAGAGTGGGGGAGGGGGAAGGAGTGCCACGGCAAAAAGGGACAGAAAAATCAATCAGTATATCTTCCCTTGCAAACTGTCAGTAGGGTGGGATTAGAAAAGCAACACTTTAAATCAGATCAAGTCCTGTGGGAACCTTAAAGGTTGGTTGCTCTAAGCTTCTCAATATTCCGCAAAATAGATTGATGGCAGTGGTCACCCTACTGATGCTCAATGTCCACTCAGAAATTGCATTTCCTACATTGTTCAAAAGATATTAACTTGGTAATAAAAATGAGAAGTTATGGGACTCATAGAGATATCTTTCACCACCTTTAAAAGCAGTAAATCTGTTCTAATCTCTCATTAGATTAAATGCCTGAGGATGCCTAATATATCAAGAAAGCAACAAAGGCAAGAATAGCACTTATTTGAAAAAAAAAGATAAGAGACAAAATGATTAATAGGTAACTACATTTTTTCCCTCATCTGTTCAATATAAAACTACAATTAGAAACATGCATGTTGCTTTTCAACTTTCAAGTGATCAAATGACAGTTTCTCAACGTCTATCACAGCAAACATATTTGAACTCAGGAAGTGACCCATTGATGAGTGTGAGCCTAGGCAAGAAATATCTTGTAAAAACACATCAACTTTTTTCAGCTAATAGCTAGTTCTGAGTTACATGGTTCCAACAGCATTCAAATTTAGGTATTAGTTACATGCCCAGTTATTTTTCCTCCACGAGTGGTTCCTGTAGCTTTATTTTTCTGTATCAAAAGTTTATTTTTTGATATACATTTCTTTATATGACATTGAATATTTTACTTCAAACAGTTTCTAGGTTTGGTGCAGAGATGGATGTATATCTCTGGGAAGCCTTAGTTGCTGATATGATTTATAGACACTAAGCATCAACTCAAGCGCCTGTTTTTTCAACCATGCACAATTACACATTTTCCACAGACATCAGTGCATACAGACAGCCAGATGCACACATATTCAGTGACTAGTAAATGGTAGAAACCTCCAGAAGTAGCACAGACCACAGTTAACAGGCTGGGGCTACACAGCTAAGTAAACACTGATACATGATTCACACGGAACAAGAACTCCACGACGGACACTTGGGGACCACACTGGTCAGTCCCCATGGGGACAGGTGGCGGAAAAAGTATTTCCAAACGCAAGTCTGCCAGGTCTTACCCTTTGCATCCCCTGGTCCTCGGGGGAGATGCTCCCTCGGCACCTCTCGCCCAGCGCAGGGGCTGCTTCTTTGCTAGAATGAAACGTCCCCTTTGACTTCACGGAGAGCTCTGCAGGGACTGGAGGCGCCCCGCCCGGGCCGGGGGAAGGCACTGGCGCCGCGGGAGCCTAGAAGAGGCGGAGGCGGAAAAGAAGTGGAGAAGGAAGGGGTGGCTGCAGGAGTAGCGGGAGGGAGTAGGCGCCGGCGCTGGGATCCGGGCGAGGCCGAGTGGGGTGGAGCGGGGTGTGCCTCCGTCCGTCGGTCAGTAAGTCAGTCGGTCCGCGCTACCCGCGAGCCGGCGTCCCCTGCTTGCAGCGCCCTTCTGCGACAAGAGCCGGGACTGGCGCCCCCTCCGCTCCCACTGCCCTCGAGCCTCGCCCCTTCCCAGGCTCTTCACTGGGTCCTCCCGCTCGCCCCGCCTGGCCCGGCGTGGGGCCGCCCGTCACCGCCAGCCGGGGCGCCCGTCGCCTCTCGCAGCTCTCGCGCTCCCTGCCTCTCCCTCCGCTCACGCTCTGGCTCTGGCTCTGGCTCCCTCTCGCTCCAGTCACATTTATGAAGCGCGGTCCCATCACGTGTTAATGAGCCTTTGTCCTGCCCTGGCAGTGGCGCAGGCACAGACCCCGCCGAGGGAACTGCACGGGGAGGGACCCGCGCGCGGCGCAGCGCGGCGCCTGAGGCTTCAAACTTTGCTGGCGCTGGGGACCCGCCAAGGCGCCAGACCCAGGGCCAGAGGGGACTAGCCACTCCGGTCGGCGTCACTTACTTCTCTTCCTCCTCTTCCTCCTCCTCCGCCGCCACGGTCCCGGGGGCCCCCACTGCCATGACCTGGCTCTCCTCCCGGATACCCTCACACCCCAGCCGCGCTAAGGAGATGGTTGTGCCTGCGCCGCCCCCAACCTCGGGGCCATTAATCACGCGCGTCCTGGCTGCGCGCAGCGCCGACACCTTGCGCGGGGGTCACGTCTGGGGCAGCGGGTTGAGCCGGAAGGGAAAGGGGAGCTCGAGGGGAGAGGCCGAGGCGCCCGGGGCGCGGGGGTACAGCCTCGAGCCCCATCTCCGCTGTCCCAGGTCGCCCCCGCGGCGGGCAGTAGAGAGCCGGCCCGGGGGACTGGCGAAACCTTGAGACCGCGCCGCGCAGCCCTCGAACCGTTTGCTACCTGGCGGCGGCCGCGCGGCTACCTGTCCTCCGCCCTCGGGGCACCGCCTGGCTCCGCGCTGGGCGCCTTCTCCAGCCGCCGTCCCCGCCCGCCGCGGACCACTTGGGCGCGCCCCACTCGCCCGGCCCCGGCTGCAAACAGTTGGGTTCGTAGGCGGCTGGCTGTGCGCCTCCCTGCCGGGCGTACCCCCTCCCCAGCCGCCCTGAGGCCCCGCTCCTCACACCTTCTTACAGGAGGAGGACGCCCCGCTCCAGGGCTGGGTGGGGGGGCCCGCAGGGCTCCAGGGCAGCCGCCGTAGGCGCCTGGGGATCCGCGGTGCGCCCGGCAGCCGTGGCAGGAATTAGGGGACATGCTCGTTAATTGGTTCCGCTATCAGCCGCCGTCTGCCTCCCGTGTGCACGGATCAAACCTTAATTGGTCTTTACATTTATCATGGTGAATTGCGAACCTACAAACAAGCCCCCGCCAATGTTTCAACAGAAAAGTCGCCCCCCCTTCTTCCCCCCGGGCCCAGACAGGGTTGTGGCGGCGGCAGTCGTGGTTATTTAGACATCTTTATCTCTCCTGAGTTGGGTTGAGGGAGGACTACGTGGTTTCCACCCGATGGAACCACGCCACTGTGGCCCCAAAAGCCCTGCGGAAGGTACTTGGTTCGGTTCCCTGCTCTTGCTTCGTGGCCACCTCTGCGTTCATTTTATGACACCTCACCAGGGATCCGGCAAATTCTGCCCATCCTCATTCCGCATCCCCTCTAGTACCGACCTCCACTTTCCTCTCGCCCCAGCCCAGAGCCCAACAGCAATTGTAGCAGATCTGTTCCCCATATTTGAACTACGTGCTGAGAATCCGGAAAAGCGAGCCTTTGAAGGAAGGGAGGAAAATTGGTGGGGAGGAAGCCCAAAGCTGGTGGGTACAGAGCCCTGCAGGAGGGACGGCTGTAAGTGCCTTTTGGAAATACCAGGCCAAATCATAGAACGGCTTCGTGTAGAACGTTACTTGTCTTTGAAAATCCCTCTAGACTTTTTTAAGTTAGAAAAAGTATTTCCCATTTCTCCATCAGGAGAATGGCCGTTTGAGATGGAGTCCATGGTTGAAATGATCATTTCTACCAGGTAGGCAGATGGAATCTATTATAAATAAAGGTCTGATGAACCCATCAATAGATGGAAGAATGATTGATAGGTGGGTATATGTGGAATGAGCCCTGCGCATTAAACCTGAAGCCTCCGCAGGCTCGACTCACCGCAGAAGAAACCAGTCACCCAACCTCCACTGCAGAAACAGCCCATCTCCTAGAGATTTATAAGGGATATGAGAGGCTTCAGCATCTGTTGCCTTATTTCTTTTAGGGGTCATGGTTGTTAGATTTTACCTTCACCTCACAGACAGGAGGAAATATTCACAAAGTTTTGCCCTCATGATGACCTTCCAGGCTCTAATTTCCCAAGTTGTTAACTTGACAAGACATAACTTCAAAGTCTCACTACTTCCTGGTATCCCAGGTTCAAATGATTGCTAGTGATTGAAAGAAAGACTCTAGGCAGCTCTTCTGGCTGTGATGAAATCTTTCAGGCAACAGAAAAATCTGGGAATCTGGGCTCCTGGAGCGTTTTCAGGCAACAGGATTTCACATGGGTGCTGCCACCCTCCCCTGTAGCGGGGTGATCTGTGCTCTTGGGGTGGCTGATGTGTTTAGCATCCCTCAGATACACAATACTGACATTCTGGGGGTGGGCATTATAGGGCATTCTTCCACTGTTCTACTTACCCCATGGGTGTCAACATCAAAACTAAAGATGGGAACAATTTACAACCTTGGAAGGAACTCCATGGAAACCTCTCTCAACTCAGCCACACCAACTTTTGCTTTTTCATAAAGAGGAGTGAGCAATCCAATTATTTTCAGTGTCTCTAAGTCACCCCAAATCTCATGATGGATGGTGGATTTCTTCATTGAATTCCATAAAATTCCAAGCAGAATTCCAAGAGGGTATCCAGGAAGACACGCATACACCCAAATGGTTTGAAGTCTATTTGTTGAGTGACTGGCCAAAATGACCTGTAGCCAGAGCCAGACATTAAAAATCTAATCAAGTAATGACTAGAGCAGCTATCTATGGCTGTTTAGCCTGTTATTTCGTTGTTCAGGGTTGGGGTAAGGCTGGAGCTCGACAGCTGGTGAATTGCACTGCCTTTCCATTTAAAACTCAAGGATAATGCTCAGTAATGGAGTCAAATTTGACTTGTGACCTGGCATTTTATCACCACAAGTGAATGTTTTGTTGAAACCAAGGGAGTTATTACGTTGTTTGAAAAATGATGGCCTCGTGGACAAGCTTGTAGGTCTTTAAAATTTAAAGTGTGTCCTGAGCTCATCAGGGTGTTATATTGCCAGTCAAAGAGCTCCTGTACGTTTCCCTCAGAGCTGGAGGAGACACAGACAGTAGATAGAGTGAAATCAAGATGTTCTCTAATGCCTCAGAGTTTACATTTTGCAAGGATCACCTTTATATGGGAGAAAATGATTTTGTTTCCACATGTGGTTGGCCTCCCACTGTACTCCTGAGAGAGGCAACAAGAATGACAAATGCAAGCTGTCAACATCCCTATTAAGAACATTACATTGAAGGCACACATGCATTTAACACAAGACATTGGATGGTCCTTGGTCACCACAAATCTAGGTTGAATTTGAACCCATGACCTTCTGGGGAAAGACTACGGGAGCCTCTTAATGGATTTTACTAGTCCCTGAACTGCTACTTGTAAGGCCGTCTGGTGTTTTAGTTCTTTATCCTTTTAAAATTAGAACAGGGCTATGATGAGCCAATTTACTGCCGTTGTATGTAATTTAGGTTATTCACTCAGTGATATGTAGAGGATGAGAGCACAGCTAAGGCTGCAAATTTCAACTTCAAAGACAGATCTCTATTCCTGACATAGTGTTAACAGTTACAGTGGACATAGGCATTAGGGAAGTATGTCCTGCCTCCCTGAGATAGCTGTTGACCCTAAAGGAGCTGTGCTTTAAGGTTTCTTTTGTTATTCGTTCTGGTTGGTTGTGCCTCTCTCCCACTCCCCAAAAAGTGGTCTGTTGGGAATGGTGAGTAATGATTTCCTGATTTGGAAACTGGTGAAGCAAAACCATCATTCTCTCTTCAAGTTCTGGGAGTTCTGAGTTTGGCTCTCATGTTTTATTTGGTATTTTAGGTGTGATGCTCACACCACAGGGCTGGAATGCTCACTGATTAAAGACGTTTTTGGAATGATATGACTACATGACTTCATTCTAATTCAGAGCATTGCTGTAGAGTTTTGACAGCTGTTATATTGACTTTCCTGTGAAGCAGAAAAGCATTTTGTTTTTCAGTGGCTCTGCATTGCTAGATGGGAATTGGCTTCTTTATTCCCAGTCTAAAGGACAAGGGTCAGCAAGCCTGTGGTCCAGGCTGGGGTTCTGTTCTCCGAAGTTTGAGACCTGAAATGCTTGCTCATGAGATGCTCTACCAGTGACACAAGCAACCTAAGGAGACTCCTGCACCACTTCTGCATGTTTCTCAAGAGGACAAGCTCACGATGAGACATGACATTCTTTTTTCACTCCATCATCAGAAATTAAACTTCATAAAATCTGTTCTATGTGGAGAAGTTGGTTGCCAGGATAGAGAAACAATGGATGAGGGAGAAAGGATGATGGGCTTCTTTGACCTTGGGGGACACTGCGTTACATTAGGCACAAAGAGACTCACTGCCATTTCTCAGTGATCTTCCCTTATAACTAAACACATGCTCATTAGGGCTCGCTCTTCACCTTCTCACCTTCTTTCATTAAACCCCACTCTTTAACGTACCAGCTGAGCAGCAGCAAGGAAGGCTGAGAAATGACAGGAAGGCATTTTTCCTTTGTTCATATGTTTTGTTTTGTTTCTCATCACCAAGCAGAAGATTGGTAATGAGGAGATGGATCATCCTTTCATTTCAAACCATATGAGAAGTATGTTCTAACAGATAATAAATAAGCACATAGTGCAAATAAGGAGAGTGAAAAAAACAGATTAATAAAGCTTTTGTTTCCTCCTGATTAAACCCTTGCAAAATAGTCATCAAAACTCTATAATAAAAAAGGCTATACAATTATATGTCTAAATATTTTATGTAAAAAAACAGGACAAGCAGCAGCAGTATTATGTCAAAATGTAGCAAATGATAGAAAAATTGCACTAGAAGATGTGTACTTCTTAAATAGTTACTTGGCTGGCCTTCTGAGTAACTCTCTTCCTAGTATTCTTCATGTTTTTTTTTTCAACTTCAGGTAGGAACTTAAAAAGAAAAAGAAATGACCATCTATCTTGAGTTATGAGAATGAAATAAAATAATAAATAGAAGACTCCCAGTCTGGTGCCTAGAACATAAGATCTTAATAAATGATAGTTGTTTTTATTTCTCCCACTACTACTGCTACACTGTAGCTGCATCTCTATTAAATGTCTGGAGAGGACCACAGTATGGCTGGACGCCCCTTAGTTCTCAAACCACGGGGTGGGCAGCTGATTTATAAATAAAGTGCTCACATTTTGAGGGTTTCTTGGGACTCAGCT